ATTGGTTCGTCGAATGTTGTCCATCTATAGAGAAATGAATCTTGTCCACCATAGACGCATCAGAAATGAATCGTAACTGGTCTATCTGGTCCGCCGGAACTGGTTATAGTTCGTCAGAACTGTCTATGGTCCACTTGAACTGGTCTGCCAAATATGTTCTATCGGAACTCGTCTATTTGGTCTGTTAGAACTGGTCTGTCGAATCTGGTCTGCAAGAACTGGTCTGTCGAATCTGGTCTGCAAGAACTGGTTATATTTCACCAGAACTGACTATGGTCTGCCGGAACTCGTCCGCCGGAGTTCTGGTTGAAACTCGTCCGCCGGAGTTCTAGTCGAAACTCGTCCGCCGGAGTTCTGGTCGAAACTCGTCCGCCGAAGTTCTGGTCTATTGGAACTGGTCCGCCGGAATTAGTCCGATGGATCTGGTCTGCCAGAATTAGTTCGCTGGATCTGGTCCGTCAGAATTAGTCCACTGGATCTGGTCCGCCGAATTTCATCTCCTGGATCTGATCCGCCGGAATTCGTCTGCTAGATCTGGTCCGCCGGAATAGCTTGTTGTTGGAAGAAGATGAAGAAGAGAGAGATAATGAAAGAAAAAAAAAAGGTAACATGTTCTTTTTACTTGTATTTATGGCATGTTTTGAAAGGAATTATGAAAAATGGCATTTTAAAGAAGATTTGGTAGTGTACATGGCATTCCCCACAATTTTCTCTAAAATTAACTTCCAACAATAACTAAACCTTTATATTTTACTTCCAAAACTAAATCAAATAAATCAAATAATGGAGAATTTTGTGGATTTTTCACGGTGTTAAACCCAACCTGGAAAAGTGACATTGGTTTTCTTTAGTTCAATTAGTTTTCTTTTCACGTCGTTATCAGTTTATATAAAATAAAATAAAAATCCCTTTAAAATTTGACATTGAGATCTCAAATAAATTCTAGTTCATATATATAACATATCAAAATTAAATCATTTGAAAAACCGAATTTTGAACATCTTATAACAAATTAACAATCAAAGCTTAGTCCATACATACACAACGTATTAAAAACATCATAGAAACAACACTCCTCAGTCTTTTATGGGATTCGATTCTTCATTAGATGGCTTGAGGCTCCACAATTTCATACGTTCACTTGTCCTTTTAACCTGTAAATAAAAATACTGTTTGAACCAAAATACCATTGTTTCAAGGAAGAAGTAATTAAATTTGTTTTCTTTACCTCTAGTTCCCAGTCAGTTTTGTAAATGATATAGCACAATATCACTGTTTGGAGCGCAATTCCAGCCAACATTCCCGACCATAGTCCCTACAAATTCAGACAATTTTTGTTGTTATAAACGAATTGCTGCTAACATGTCCAATATATTATATTTTTTAACAAGAAGGACTCTTAATACCTTAACACCAAGATGGAATACATTAGTAAGAATGAGACCTAAAGGTATACCAACTGCATAATACGAAGCTAAGTTCACAACTGCCACTACGCTCTGCATCCCTGCTCCAACTGCTACCCCTGTTTTATTTATACACAATCTAATGTATTATTACAATTTGATTCAATTAAAACAAAGTTCACTTCTCAAGTAGGTAGCATTCTTCCTAGACCATACATGGTTCATATAGATAAAGAGGTATTTATAGAGAGATGTGTGACCTGATAGTATAGGTTGTATGCTGTTGAGTAAGATTGAAACGGCTAGGATGATCGATAGATCATTCACTGCGTCTGAGACCTCAACGCTATTCGAAAACAAATACGATATCTGACCACAAAAAGCTAAGCATAGCGCTGAGAATATCACTCCCATCAATATCGATACTGTGAGTATCACTTTTATTGAAAATCTCACTGCATATGCATCTCCTTTCCCCAGCTCGTTAGCCACCCGGACGCTACGAGTACATTTGTATAGACGAGACATTATTTGTTATCTAATCTCGATGCATTAATATTTTAAGATTGAAACGTTTTATAAATATGAGAGAGTATATTACCAAGCTGCACCCAAGAAGCCAAGGCATATGTTGAGTTCCCATGTATATATGTATTGGCTGTAAATTTTCGAGATGATTAATTTAGCCTTTTGAGTTCTGACGGTAGAATATATGCAAGGTTTTGAATTTTACCATATGGAGAAAGCAGAGATTGCTATTTTCGCATCTTTTGTATACCCAGCCATTAAGACAAGGATGCTCATGTACCAATACTCTAAGCTGAACAAAAATTAAAAGGAAAAATATTAGAGAACAAAACTATAACACTGTAACATTACACAACTCTAGGCTAAATTAAGATAAACATAACTTTATACTATGTAATAGTAATACCCTAAATATTATTATTCCTCCATAGGATCTCTCACTTCAAGCCTTAAGAATTATATAATATTCAAGTTGTTTACAAAAGTAGGTAGTTACCAGATCATGACGCCTGAGGAAATAGAGAGCTTGAGCATAGGAACTAGGTCAACAAATGCAGCAATACTAAATCCGGTCCAAGTAAACGGACACCATCCACCAAAAATGTAGACAAACTCGGCTAATACCATCGCCCACGAGCTCACATTAAGCCCGATGAGCGCACCACCAATCCCCATTCCCATAACACTCACGCACCACCATGTGACTAGGAGGTCAAGAACCAGTGACAATGTTGAGAGAACGCCTACAATAGCGTTCCTCATCTGTGCTTGGAGGTACATTTGTATAGTCATAGTGAAAATCAAGCTATAGACATACGGGATCATCCAAGGATAGATCTCATCAATGGTCTTTGTGATCTCAACGTTCTGGCCTAATAGACGAAGAATAGGACCAGCAAATACAATAAAAGGTAGGAATAAAGTGGTCACGGCCGTGTCCACAATCCATGAACGTTGTAGATATATCCCCATTGTGTGGTATTGTTCTGCACCGTACGCTTGCCCGCATAATGTCTCCGTTGCACTTGACATACCGCCCTATACATATATATCAACACCACAACAACCAAAAAGACTATATATTTCTACTTTAGGTAATTAATAGAGATTTTTGAAGTTTTGTGTACCATTAAACCGTAGAGAAAGCGGATGAAAGTGCTTTGGAGGAGAGCGTAAGCAGCAAGACCCAACTCAGAGGAGTGACCGATGAAGGCTTGAGCCACAATGATGCTCCCAAACGAAGTCATTCGGAACAAAGAAGAAGGTAATGCTATTCTCCATAATTTATTTACTTCACTCCAAAACTTACTTCTCAAATAGATACTCTCACTGTTATTATTACTGCTCTGACCCTTAGCATCTGATCCAACACTTAATAGCCTCTCCTCCATTTCTCCTTGACTACTCATTTCCTATTGTTCTTCCGTTCTTTAACTCTAATCTGAAATTTTCATTAACAAAAAAAATAAAGGAAAAGGTACTTAATATAAGCTTTCGAAAATGTTTAAAGTTTGTATGTATGCAAAATTACAAACAGATTTTTCTTAAAGCCAATCCCTTTATGTCAGCCAGGAGAAATTTAAAGATCAAGAAACGAGCTAAGGAATATTTCTTTAAATTAATTTCTTGCTGGAAGATTCATCAATATAAAATATACACACACACACACATACATGCATTTTTGCTGTTGATAAATGATAACTACCGAAACTATGAAGTGTAGAGCAAATTAGTTACCTTCGTTCAAGTGAAAAGATTCAAAGCGAAGAAGAGCAGAGAGAAGAGAGATAACAGAGGTCGGTGGTGACATCAACGACAGAAAATATTTGCAAGAAGCGAAATGGTAAAAATGAAAGTCTCCTGTTTCCTTATTTTCGGAAAAAAAGATGTCAGAATGGAACCGAAACGTTTTTGATATCTCTCTTTATATACACAAAATGAAAGCAAAAAAAAAAAAAAAAAAAAAAAAAGCAAAAAAGGAAGAGATAAACACAAACTTATCATTATGCTACATGTCCATTAAATCTCTAATTAACCCTCCAAAAACTAATATGAAAATTTTATGCTCGTAATTTTTCTTCTATTTTTGGAAAGTCAGATTATTAACCAGTTTCGAAAATGAAATTGCTTTTTCTCTAAACGACAGTTGATAAATAAATAAATTGGTCAACTCTCCTTTTGTTTGTGCGACATGTAATCTGGGCCGTTCAAATCATCAGATGTTTAAAAGTTTTCTTTCATACACCGTTCGATTCGTTAGTTACTAATTTTTTTTTTCTTTACTGGCGACGAGTGTGAAAACGGTTAGAAAACGTGTAAATTGTTGGATTTTGTTTGGGCTTTTTTTTTTTGGTCTAACTATATAGTCTAGTAGTTTGAACATGCTACCCGACGTGACATGTGAGAAATGTTTTACCAACAACATGCCAATTCGAGTCAAACGTGAAAACAGATTTCACGAGATATGCAGAAAAATAAAAATTAAATAAACAAACTACGTCCTGTTTACTCAGAATACATATAGACTGCGTGTGGTTTCTGCAACAGATTTATTCGATTTTTCCGAGTAACAGAGATACAATTACAAAGGTGGTGGGACTTACAAAATCCGCCACGTTATGCAGACACGGAGACACGTGTTTCACTTTTCGATCTACTTTCCCCCCATCTGTCTACTCTCGAGTCTTGTCCCTTTAAAATATGCCACTCTTGTCCTGCTTTTCTAGTTTTACTCCTTGTCCCTTTGAACATATGCCACTCTTATCGTACTTTACTACTACTAGAAGAAAAAAAAATGATAAATTCATCCAATTTTATCATATCTCTGTTTATTAGTAGTATAATTCATCAGATATCTACTTATTTTTTTACTATCTAGTTGGGCTCTTATTATGCATGCCAAAGCCATTGTTATTCGACTTGAGATAGCGGACTTCAAATATGCACAATATGGACCACCAGCCCACGTGTTTATAACATCTGTTAAGATTAAAGTTCTTAATTTTATCCAGTTACCTCTTTATAATGTCAATACTAAGGTTGTAAATCATTTTAAAGTCAAAGTTGTTGTATCTTTCATTCTTTGGAGATCTCAATTCAAATCATTTTTTGGGTTTAGATGACTAAACTTGGATCTGTTCAGCCATACACTTCCTTCACATATGATGAGTGAGAACTGAGAGAAGAAGAATAGGGCAACAAGGTCTCTACTTTTCTATACATTCACAAAAAAACCTGTTTGATCTCGAGACATGTTTATCTCTCAATTTACGTGTGAGCTCTAACCTCACGGCATTCTCAAAACCTGTAAAGGTGTTGCCCTGTAAGATTATTATTGCAGCAAGAAGTTAAACTTTTGAGTAAGAAGAAAAAGGAAAAACTGTGATTTTACCTCTCTTTTCGATATTGCAGAGACTTGTTGTTTACACTCTTTCCAAAAGACCAAACTTGTTCTAGTAATGGCTGCTACTAATATCTCATCTCTTGGATCTCTTTGTGGATCGAACTAAACAGAGCCGTTGTGATATACCGCTCACCATGGCTCGGAAACAGAACCTGTTTTACAAATTCTATCAAGATTTAAGAGCTAAACACTACCAACTGTGAATCTGTGATTACTAAAAAATTAAATCCTGTTTTTTCTCACCGTGATAAGTTTTCCAGCATTCTCTGCTCTTTTAGCCAAGCTGATTGCTGCTACTGCAGCGGCTCCAGATGATATCCCAACCTAATGTGCATCGATTCCACAAAAGTATAAACACAATGTAATGTATAGGGAAAACACGAAAACATAAAGAAGAGGTTATTATTATATATACCAGCAATCCTTCCTCTAGAGCTAGTCTCCTCGCCATCTCAATCGCTTCCCCATTGCTAACCTATGGTTTTCCAAAATGATCTTCTTTTAATTTTCTCTAATAGATGTCTCTTTTGAAATGTTGATTATGATATGAAAGTATTGCTAACCTTAAACACTTCATCAAGTAATTTAACATCCAGGATTCCCGGCAAGTAACCTGAAAAGCCGTTTAGTTATGTTGTAAGGAGGATTCCAAAGCAAGAAAACAGAGAACCAATCAAAAGAATCAATTTTGAAGAATGAGGCCTCAATGCTGCTTACCAGGATTGTCTCCAGAAATTACACTTCTCTCTGATGGTTCAACGCCAACTACCTTAATATCCTTGTTCATCATTTTTAAGAAACCTCCAGTACCAGTTACAGTACCACCAGTTCCAATTCCAGCAACGAATATATCGACATTACCCATTGTATCTTCCCAGATTTCTGGTCCTGTAGTTTCAAAGTGGATCTTACCAAACAAACCAAAAGAAAAAAACATCTTATTAGGCCAAGCAACCCGGATCTCAAATAAAAGAGTAAGAGCCTGGTGGTGAGTTCTTCTTACTTTTGTATTTGCTGTATTGTCGAATTGCTGAAACATATATGCATTTTTTGTCTTGAGAACAATCTCTTTGGCTTTATCTACAGCTCCTTTGAGACCCTTCTCTGGATTCGTAAGCACAATCTCTGCTCCCAGTGCGCGTAAAAGCATCCTTCTTTCAATATTTATAGAAGCTGGCATTGTAACTATAAGTTTATAGCCTTTAGCTGCAGCCACAAAAGCAATCCCGAGACCAGTGTTTCCGGTTGTTGGTTCTACTAACACAGTCTGCGTTGATGAGATATTATCGAATTAGCAATCAGCAATGTCGCAACACAGAACAACAAAATAGCAAAAGACAAGAAGTGCAATCACCTTCCTAGGCCTTATGTCTCCACTGTCTTCTGCCTCGTTGATCATGCTCAGACCGATCCTGCGGAAAGTAAAAACTGTTAGGAATCAAGTATAAGTCAAAAATTGTAAACTAAGAATGTTCAATCGACAAGATTGAGTTTAGAAAGGACGAAGAATCATTCCGACCTATCCTTGACGCTTCTACAGGGCTCCATGGATTCGAGCTTTGCAGCAATGTCAGCTAAACATCCATCAGTGACTCTATTGAGATACACCATTGGTGTGCTTCCAATCAACTACACAAACCAAATCGAATCCTACATTATACAAACTTTATCACAAAATCTAATCTTTCCATAAGAAAAGAAACAAAAACGTATCTTTACTCATAAGGTTAGTAAAAATTTGAATCCTTTTGGACTTACTTGAGTGACATCTTCGGCAATGTTGACTGTTTCTGACTCGTCAATGCCTGACTCTTTGATTTCATCTTCAGCGACAGTAGTAACTGCCGGAGGAGGAGGTGGTGGTTTACGTTTGGGTTTGGATTTCGATTTCGTCCCGGTAGAGGATTTCCCGGAGATAGCGCCGACGACGAAGGAAGATGCCGGAGTTCTGACCGATAAAGATTCACCGATAAAGAAGCCAGAGGTCAGTAGTGAGGCTTTCGTAGAGGTGAAACGGTATCGTTCTGAGGTTATTACACTGAAGGGATACTGAGGAAGAAGACGGAGCGAAGGAGACGAGAGTGCCATTTTTTTCCGTCGCCGGAGAGGTTTAAGGGATTAGGTTTCTGTTGTGTATTAATTTTTTTATCACAAGAAAAAAAAAATAGAAAAACATAAAGAAGGTAACGAATCGGATAAAAGAACCACTTATTTTGTAATTTTTGTTGAAATAATTTTTTTCTTTTAAAAATACAAAATGACAAATATATTCATTTATCTTATGTCGGTTCACTAACTGTTTGATTAGTGGAATGCTTAACACATTTATAAATGGAAAATAAACATATTCTTTTTTGAAAAGTGTAATCCATTTAATAAAATGTATATAAAACTCTTTTCAAATAAAAGATAGTGCATCATCAACCTAGAAACTACAGTTACTAACCAATATATAGTATATAGTATGAAATCAATTATAAAACCTTGGGATAAAAAAAAATGAACAATAATAAAAAATAACTTGGCATAACAAATTCTATTTATTTTACTTATAATTTTATTTAGTAGTAAAAAGTAATTATTTGATATTCTATTGTGGTTAAAATAAAAAAACGTTGTGGTGTTAGTGTAAACTTTGTTGTAGACAAGGAACCTTAACGATGTTTTCTTTTTTTTTTGGTATGAACCTTAACGATGTTTTCTTACTACCATTATCAAATTATTATCATCAAAATCAACAAGACAAGGGTAAGATATCGAAATTAAATGTTAGATATGTAAGATAATATTATATTTTGGTCATTTAATTTGGCACACACGTCGCTCTCACCTTGCTTTAATCTTCGTCTCGAAGTATTGAGTCTTAAAAAAACTCTTCCTTGTGTTGTGATCTCTCTCACTCTCTCTCTCGATCCTTGTATAAATAATGGAACACGATGAGCACGTTAAGCATTTAAAAACTCTATCAGAAAAATGGCATTCAAAGCGATTCTCTTTCTGGGTTTACTCCTCGCCGTGATTGCTTCTCCGGTCACCGTCCATGGTGGATCAGTCTGCCCTGTGAGCTCCACGTTTGGTCGAGGAAGCTTTCCTGATGGTTTCTTGTTCGGTGCTGCCACTTCTGCTTTCCAGGTAGGTATCTCGATTTTGGATTTACAAGTCAAACTTTGTTGAACCTCCCTTTGATTGATCTTTCGTGGCCGGTGATAGGAATTGTTCCCAGAAAATCATGATTTTTCTTTTAATCAGCTCTAGTAGCTTCGTAAGTACGATTAACAAAGTTTAAATCCTAAATCCAGTTTAATGAAAAATTAAATTTGGTATCTTTAGTGAAAGCTTTTTACAAGGGAAAGCTTCAAAGTTTTATCCTTTAATATATTTAGCTCATGAATTGTCGTCTAAGGTTTAGGAAAATGAATCTGTATGACCCCATTGGTCATGTTCAAGTCTCTTGCTTTAATGATTGTTTCTTTGTCAGGGGTTTATAGTCACATTCACTTTTGAGTCCTCTTCATGCTTCGGTTTCATGGTTGACTTATTGTTAATCTTCTTCTACTGCCAGAGGTTTCTGGATTCTGATCAAACTTTGTTTCTAATTTTGCTTGTATAGCATGAAGGTGCACCAGAAGAAGGAGGCCGAGGTTCAAGCATTTGGGACTCGTTTACTCTTAAACATTCAGGTTTTTTTTCCACTTCTTCTAATTAGTCAAAAGATTAATAAACCGAGTCACTTTTGTGATTCTAGAATTCAATCTGGTCGTGAGATTTAAGTCATGAGCATGTTACTTAAATCTGCAGATAGGAACAATAACCTTGATGGCAGGCTGGGAGTTGATTTTTATCATCATTACAAGGTATGTATATGTTCTACGAGCAATCCTTTTCCCTGAAGATGAGCTTTTAAGTGTGTAATTAGCAAAGGTTTTCATCTAATCAACCTTTCTGAAATTGTTGCAGGAAGATGTTCAACTATTGAAAAAACTGAACATGGATGCCTTTAGGTTCTCTATTTCTTGGTCAAGAATATTTCCCCGTAAGACAAATTTCTTTGGTTTATGATTCGTTTGCAATGTACTATGAGATGCACTCTTTACTAACTTTGTTACTTCTTGAAAACAATCAGATGGGAAAAAGGACAAGGGAGTGAGTGAAACAGGAGTTAAATTCTACAATGATCTTATCAACGAGCTCATTGCAAACGGTTATCACACCTTCTGTCATATTATCAAATCGTATCATATCTCCTATTTTTTCATTTCCCACGTTGCTTAAAATCAAACTCTTGATTGAGTTTTGCAGGTGTAAAGCCTATGGTTACATTGTTTCAATGGGACGTACCTCAAGCTCTTGAAGATGAATATGGCGGTTTCTTGAGTGACCATATTTTGTAAGTCTTTAGGCCAAGTATTGATATGTGTTGTATCACGTTCTGTTTCCTATCTTTTTGCGGTTACCTAACATTTACTGAAACTTGTATATAGGGAGGACTTCCGAGAATTTGCAAAGTTTTCCTTTAATGAGTATGGTGATAGGGTGAAGCACTGGGTTACTATAAACGAGCCTTATGAATTTAGTCATGGTGGATATGAGACAGGAGAGAAAGCACCAGGAAGATGTTCTAAATATGTCAATGAGAAGTGCGTTGCGGGCAAGTCTGGACATGAAGTTTACACCGTTGGTCACAATTTGCTGTTGGCTCATGCCGAAGCTGTGGAAGAATTCAGGAAATGTGGAAAGGTAGAATCTTAAGAACAAATATATATATATATATTTGAAACTAAATTTGGTTGATCTAATCCATGGATTTCAATATAAATAGTGCAAAGGTGGAAAGATCGGAATTGTTCAAAGTCCAATGTGGTTTGAGCCTTATGAAAAGAAATCCAGCTCAAATTCTCCAGAGGAGATAGTGAAGAGAGCAATGGATTTCACTCTCGGCTGGTTAGTAGTCTTTAAGAAATATTGTTTAAGCAATCTTATTAGCTTAGCGTTCTGAGTGTGGATTATTGCTATTTGCTTGCAGGTATATGGAACCAATAATTCATGGAGATTACCCCCAAACCATGAAAGATATAGTTGGTGCTCGATTACCTTCGTTTACGCCTGAGCAGAAAGAGAAACTGAAGGGTTCTTACGATTTTGTTGGTATCAATTACTTCACTTCTGCGTTTGTTGCTCATGTAGATAATGTTGATCCAGAGAAACAGAGTTGGGAAGCTGATTCTCGCTTGCAATTACATTGTATGTTCTAACTTCTAACCATTACATATCTTGCTTGTTTCTGTGGTACTTACTTATCTTCCTCTTTAATCTTTTTTTTTTGATACCTTGCAGCAAATAACCCAGATGGGCTCAAGATCGGTTCTCAGGTATGGATATATTTAGATCATCGATACAATATTTCTTGTTATTTTAAACGATATGAGCTTTTTCCTAAGTCTCTTTCTTATGTATTGCTTCAGCCGGCTAGTGCAAAGTATCCAGTTTGCGCAGACGGGTTAAGAAAAGTTTTGAAATACATCAAAGAGAACTATAATGATCCAGAAATCATAGTCACTGGAAACGGTAAGCCATTGCCTTGTTGCTCTCTGCTTAAAATCTCACTCAAATCTCCTTAGCAAGAAATCAAATCCATTGCATTTGCAGGATATAAGGAGACACTTGAAGAGAAAGATGTACTTCCTGATGCACTAAGCGATAGTAATAGGAAGTATTATCATATGAGGCATCTCATGGCTTTACACGGAGCAGTCTGGTAAGTTACATTTCACGGTTCCAAAAAGACTCTGTTTCTTATTCTCTAGTTGTTGGATTTGGTCATAGACTGTTTCTGCTTCATATATATAACTTATTTTGGTTTATGCAGCGAGGACAAGGTTAATGTTAAAGGTTACTTTGTGTGGTCACTTATGGATGGAATAGAGTGGGAAGACGGATACAAGACGAGGTCTGGACTGTACTATGTGGATTATGGACACAATTTGGGACGGCATGAGAAACAATCTGCTAAGTGGCTCTCCAAGCTCCTTGAGAAAGTCCCGGACACGATTCAGTCAAAGGTAGATTCGGAATCAAGGAAAGAGTTATGAATGATCCGAGAATAAATAACCTTTTCACGGCTCTCTCTCTCTCTCTCTCTCTCTCTCTCTCTCTGCATAACCGATCTCGATGATGTAATGGTTGTTTTTATATTATAACGATCTATGTAACTTATATAACAAATAAAGAAGGAACTTATGTCACACGTTACCAGCTGTGTTTCGTAAAGATCAAGTCATCTATATCCACATGGCTGAGTATAAACATTTGGCGTTTCCACTTAAAATTTCGATAAAGCCATCCACGTGATTGAGTTGCAACTATACTCATTACATTAATTTCTGTCTAAACCATATTTATAAATGTCATTAAACCCCCTAAAATGGCTTTATAAATCTTTGAAACCTATGAACCTTCATCTTCACCAAAGGGGCTTTCCTCGCAACAGCTTTCCAAATCATCTGAACTGCATCATCTCCAACGTCTTCCTTGGACGGAAAACGCAAATCGAAATACTTATTAACTTCCTTCAGCCGTTTCCACATTTTATTGTACTCTTCTCTCCCAATGCTCCTGACAAGACCCATCAGAAACCCTTTCTTTAGAGCGTCGGATGATCGGACAAAGAGACAGAACTCGTTGTAGTTGAGAACGTCCTCGTATGGTAACTCAATGTCGTCGCTAATTATCACGGGGATACAGTGACTAGCGATGGCGTCGAAGAGGCGGTTGGACGAAGGAGTATCCCCGGCGATGTTGAGACAGAACTTGGACGATCTCATTCCATCTCCGGCTTTGGTTATTCCGTGATTTCTTACGCTACCAAAAGAGAAGTGGACGTCTTTTTCTTCTTTTAGAAGGTAGTATAGCTCTTGCCTCACGAATCCACCCTACATGATTATGTGTATGAATCGAAATTAAGTTACAAAGTTTTCAATCCACCCTATTCCTAAACAAAATAAGATGAAAAACTGAGCACACCAATAACATTTTGTTTAAGTTTGCAACAAAAATTAACATTTTGTTTAGGTTTGCAACAAAAGTATAAGCAACCTAAGTAACTCAAGTTATTACTAAACCCACTAATTAACCGGATATATCCACTTGGTGAGCTATCGTGTAACATAAGCAAGCAAAGTACTACTCACAGCTTTGCGGTAGATGGCTCCTTGGAAGTAGAGCAAGATCGGACGGCCATCGAAGCCCGACGTGTCATTAACGTACGACGGAACAAGGTGTTTGTATGGAGCCACAATGTCTTTATCGACATTGGCGACACGTGGCGAGTATCTACCAAAGTCAGCGACCACAAACATCGCCGGATATAGCTTATGCCTTGCGGTCGACATGCTATTGGGATGGTGCGCCATTATCACATGATCCTTCCCTCCTGAGATCTTCCACTCTTTTTGGGACGTTACGTATTTCACCACATTCTCCTATCATCAATAAATTGAGATCCACGTCAAGTTATATAAAGATTAGATTATGATGATGACAGTACTCTTGAGTCTTGACTTGTTTCTTTTTGTTGAGTTTGTGATTACGTTATATGTTAGAAAAACGTGTATTATACTAAAAATCTTTGAAATATGGTATATTTTTCAACGTTTAAGCAATCAGTAGGAAAAAATGTAAGAAAAAAAGTAAACTTTTAAGGAAAAGATGTGAATATTTGGATTTAGTTTACCTGCAACTCTCTGTCTTGGCTCTTCTTCTGCTTTTGGTTAACCTTAGAGAATCGATTGTAGCTCAATGACGAGAAGAAGGGCACGAACACGACATCAGCTTCGCTCGAGTTCTTCACACGTATCGCTGCACGGGAGCTTCTTGAATCTTCTGGAAGCTCAGAGAACAAAAGATCTAATGTAAGCCAATACTCGACACTGTGCTGCAGGTTAAGACCACCTGGATGATGAGGAACACTGACTCTGATATCAGGCCACACGACGCCGTTTCTATCTGGTTTCCAACCTAATAACCCAAAGTGAAACTCTGGACTCATGTCATACATGTATACTTTCAATGGCGTTGGAGAAGGAGAACCCTTCTTCTCGATGCATTGGAGGGTTTTGGCTCTGTTCTGATAAATGAATGGCTCTGTTTCTGTCCCTCCTCTGTTTTTTTTATCATTGGGTTCCTCTGTTTCTGCACCTTCTCTGTTTTGTTTTCCTCTGTTTTGGGGATTAGGCGATATGACGTTGTTTTGGGGAGAACTGTTTGAGTTCTTGATGATGATGAGAGGTGCGTCTGCAGGTTCTGATACTGAGATGTAATCGAGAACTCGGTTAGGGTTTGTGGAGGAAAAGATGAAGAACCAAGAGAGGACGGTGAGGATCGATATCAACAAGAAAACTATAGATTTCCGAGTGATGATTACTCCGAGAGAACGTGAGTTTGATCTCTCAACCATCTCTGAGAAGCTAAGAGAAGAGATTGGAGAAAAGGAATCATATATCAAGAATATGAAATAACGACGAACAGATTCATAGAAGAAGAAAGATTGTGTAGATTCAAAAACACAGGAGAAAATTTCTGTGAAAAGAGAAACTAGGTTTTATTAGGGATTAGGGAAATTTGCCCGAGAAAAAAGTAACGAAGTTGAGACTTATATTAGAGTGATGAGAAAGTTTATGAGGTAGATGAGAAACGATGAAAACGCACAAAGAGAGAAGAAAAAACAATCACAACACGCTCTTTATTACTCTCTTTCTCGCTTGTGAAGGAAGAAACTGAGTCGTCGTCGTTGATCTTTTGACGCGGGGCGATAAATAAATAAAAACTATCTTAGAATTTGTTGTATACCAAAATATTTATATTTTTTACCATTAATAATTATATGAAAAAGATTTTTTATTTTATCTTAGAATTTGTTGTATACAAAATAACTAGATTTTTTACCATTAACAATTATATGAAAAATATTTTTATTTTTATTGTCATAATAAGTAATAACAATATCAAGAAAAAGTGGTAAAGTATAAGTATCAATATTATTAATAAAGTTTTAATTTAGTAAAATCAAGTAATTATACTAATATTTCTGGAACCATTGATTTTGAAGGAAATAATAGAAAAGTTTTGTGTGAAAATTAAGATAGTTAATGTTAGTCAGAAAATAAGGTCAAAACGTTATGATTGATTAAATGGAATTGATCAATTTTTGACTCAATATTATAGATAAGAGTTTAATAAATATTACTATAAACTAAAAAAACGTTATGATTTATTAGGCCAGACAAACTTACTATAGCAATTTTCAGGTGATTGATTATATATATAAAGACTACAAATAATGAATGAGTAATCATTAATTTTCTAAGAAATTTTAGTAGTATTAAAAAAGAAAAAGAAAAAGGTGTTCTTAAGTGACTCCTTGATAATTCATAGAAAACGTAACGTCTTATAGTTTACACAAGAATTGTGCAAATTACATCGTCGTCGGTTGGTATGTCAACGTTTACGTGGGATGAAACCTGACTACTCTTTTCTAAACACTTTTATTTTATTAACAGAGTTGCGTGTGTGTGACATAATCAAAATCGATCTCAATTCTCCCATAAACCCATAAGTTTTTGAGATCCGACGACTTGGGATGGGGTGGATTGTGATATATTTCCTTCATCAAGAGCACTTCCAAAGTAAACAGATCTGATTATTATAGTTAATGAATAAATGACTAAAGAAATAAATTTGAATAACAATTAATTTATGAGATGAGTTGCCAAAAGTGTTTTACACGGCCGACGATATAGCAAAGCCCACAATCATTCGGCGTACATTACTTTGGGCCAACACCAAAACCTCAAAGCTCATAATTACATCTTTCATGTGTTTTTACTAGGTGTTATATAATCGATCTGTTCCAAATTGGTTTCTATAAACCAAAAACTGAACACAATTTGATGACTCTACTTGAATAATAGAAACGCAATTTGGCTTTTTGAGTTATCGTCGTGCGTGTGATGAACTCACTTTATAATTGTTTTCCTTTTCTTCTCCAAAGTCCTTTTGCCTAAAACTGAACACTTAAACGCAAAACACACACATGAAGATAATCAATACTCCTCAATGTGGTGGGAAAATTTAAGTTTATGTCGTAATATGTCAATTCATATTTTAATCCTATCAACTCATGATACATGTGTCATGTTCTGAAATTTATAATAGCAACAATTGTCACATTGATATTGTATTTGTTTATGGTTTTAGATTTTTTTTTAAAAACACACATGTCACAGAATTACAAGTTAATACTTAAATTTGGTATACACAGAAATATATGTATATATACATATATACTTCATCGAAATATATACATATACATACACGTACAGTTTCCTGTTAAACTTTTGTAGAGATCAGTTTTGAGTTCGTCCTCTAAAAGAGAAGAGAACTTCTTGGATTCTGTAAAAATTAGAGTAGACATAGAATGTGAGATGCACAAGCTAAAAGAGTTGGGTGTCTCCTAACTCCTAAATAAAACAAAATTATTCGAAAAAATTAAAGTTTTATTACTATTAATTTATCGACATGGAAGCCAATAGGAAAGTGTGTAGACTAAGTTTGAAAAGATTCATATAGTAAGGTAAGTCTCACTAATCAATCAATACATATACATATGATTTCTTCAATATGAGTTCGGAAATCAAGAATTAACCAAACATGCGTCTCCTAGTCACTGGTTATAGTGGTCGGTGTTGTCGCCTAGTGGGCTTTATTTTATAGCTTAATACGAATTTTAGTATCTTCATAATCGCCTTCTCCTCTAATAAACATTAGTGAATATTATTTGATCAGCGACACTTACCAACCATATGAACAAAACTTTTCAAAAATGTACGAATTCACAGAACTACAAAATATAAAATGACTACTACATTTGTCACTGCTAGTAGTTATAGATTTTTAATTGATGTAAACTAAACAAACTTTTTGTGACAATTGATTTAAATTTATGTATGTGTTTATACATGCATGTATATATGTGGAATCTGTGGTTGTTTGTTGTAATATCATCTAGGTTCAAACCTAACATAATATATGTTTGTTAGTAATATATGTGTGTGTGTGCGCGCTCGTGCGACCCTATAGCCATAATATTACGGAGAGAGTTGAAAGATTTTATAGTTGTATTATTTGTCTATGCATGCTGATTTCGAATATACAGCTAGATTTTGTTCTTCAAATTTATTAAGCGAGCATTCAAAATACTTTCCTGTGATGTTTACAAGGTTAGATCTTATGGGCAAGATTTGTCTTAACTATCCGATTAAGATCTTGCTTCGAGTTGTTAATTAAGGTTTGTGTTTCGGAGAGCAAGAATCGACAAGACTACAAAATCTGATGAACCCCAGCTGTCTTATGCTCTTCTTTTTTTTCCAATAAATAAATTCAGTCATAACTAAATACTTCAAATTATATATATTCACATTTTGAATTTCGCTTTAGAATCAGATCACTAAGCGTTTCATTAACTACTTTAATGAGCAAACTATTTTTTTAAAGAAAATAAACTTTCTTGACTTTTATTAAGTACTATGTGAGCATATGTTATGTTAGATTTGTTAAATTCGTATTTGTTTGAGATATGCATTAGGCATTATCGAGTGACTTGAGAATTTGTCAAGTGAAAGAAGCTTATGAGTTATATATATGGACCGCTTTAAAGATGCACTTATTATATAATTAAGCAGCAAAGTAATGAGATATAGAATACGGGCCTTCTCTTTCGGCTTATTAATAAGTGAGGTTAATTTAATTATCATCTTAAATTTTATTGCTTAATTATATAATAAGCGGAGCCCTAATTTTTTTTGAAAATTATTAATTCATTCGTGGGACAGTTTGTCCTCGTTCGTTAACCAGATAAACATAGATTCATGTATATATTTCTACTTTTTGTTTCCACTAATCATACAAGTCCATTGATCTTGCACTTTGGGATTAATGTTTCGTGTTAATTAATTACATGGGCTAAGTTGATTTTTTTATTCGTTAGTTTTAATTAGTTGTTTATGGATCGTATTCGTTAATTAATCGTATTTATGACTGGCACTTCCACCTAAATAATCTCACATCATGCTACCATAGTTGAGTTTGATGTTGATTCTTTTCCTTTATAAAATTTCAGTAATATATGATCATTACTCTCTCTCTCTCTCTCCAAACGAACTCGAAGATCCCTAGACACGAAGTTTTATTGCAATTTTGGAGTATATTTTACATCTAAATAACTAAATTGATAATCTTACAAAATACATCTCTTCGTCTTAGAAGAGCTATTGACTTCATCTTAATTTTTTTGGAAGTAAATTACAAAATGTAAAACAACAGAAGAAACTTTGATTACACGATAGACTCAACAAAAAAAAAAAGGAAAAAGGAAAAAAATGGATGGAACGTTGCAATAAAGTCTTAAGGTAGAAAAACAAGGCATCTGTTGCATCACCACCACATAAGAGTAAAAGCCAGTTCATGTCTATCTTGGAACCTGTCGATAACCAAACGAAGACAACAAATAACAACAAAAGAAGATATTTTATATATACACTACAAAAAAGAAACATACAAACAATATATATAACAAGAACTAAAGCTTTGTTGGGAATCTGAGTTATTTGAAGTAATCGTAATGCAGAATCGGACTTCAAAAACTCAAATTCGTTAGAGAAATGTTTATGTGATCAAGAGAAGAAGTTATATAGAGTGTTGTATATTTCGTTCGCCAAGATATCCAATAAATCTTTCCCCAGCGCAACTATAAAATATTACTGATTAACAAAAAAAACTAATATAGCTAGCCTTACTTTTAAAAGAAGGCAGAGAATGCATAAACACACAGGCACACACACATATATATACATGTGATCTCCTATACATAAGCTAACTATTTAGAGACTCATTTTCTTCACTAGAAGTAGTAAACATAAACATTTACGTTAGACCATGAATGCTGAAAACAATCAAAATAGCATTAGCAGTTATAAAAGATAACTATCCAACTCATTAAAACTGTAGCATGAAGTTTGAACAATTGTTTTCAGCAATAACTCTTTTTCTCTGATTAAAAAACAGTAATAATAGAATAAAATGAATGCCGAAAACAAAATAAAGATGTGCCTAATTTAATCAAATGTGAAAAAACTCAACTTCAGTTACAGACACACAAAGTCTTAAAATATCAAAAAGAAAAACCATGTTCATTTACTACACAAACCGACACTCATCAATTAGAATTCTCTTACGAAAGACTTTCTATATATTAGTATTAAAATATATGATGAGTAATTTAAATACATATATATATGTAGCAGACAATTTAGGACTTTACCCCAATTGGGTTCCATCTCATTTCCTATTTTCAACACCAAAAAAAGTGAGGATCGAGAAAGAGAGAGAGACTACGACGACATAACCCAAAAGAAAAGAAAAAAAAAACGATGTACAAAGATTGAATAAATTACCAGGAAATAAGATTCACCGTGTTGTAAGGTATGCATCAAAAAACCGAACTCATCAGTTGGGAGAGGAACACCTGAGGAATGCACCAAAACCAAATCATCTCCAAACGTTGCTTTCATGTCTATTCCTCCTCTCGTTACTTCTGTCGGAACTCCGTTTATAAACACCGTTATAATCCCCCCTGAATTTCAAAACATATTTACAATTCTATGAGAGAAATATACTAGATTATAAAATTAGTTGCTAAGAACAAGATTAGGCGATTATATGAATAAGAATTAACCTACTATACTCATAAAAAGTCAGTTCTTTGGTTGAAACTCATCTGAAACTTCTTTATTCATTATGTTTCGATCAATACGGACTTATATAACTAAAATTGAGATCTAGACATTTATTTACATGCTAGTAGTATCTATGAGAATTAAAGTAGTTGCTCTCAAAGACAAAAATGTTAGGCAATACTGATTAACCAATAAGCAATTATTAAATAAGTCGCCAAAAAAAATAAATCGGTTCTTTGGTTGAAACCCACCAAAAACTGGATTTATTTTTATTTCCCTACCATTAAAACAACTTTTACAATTAAAAAATTGTTACTTTTAGAGACTTTTTGGGGGAAAGAAAGAGGGTTTAGAGGACAAAGCACTTGACTTTACACAGAAAAAAAAAAAAGAGTCATGCAAAATTATGTTATTTTATATATGCTTGTTGTGTTTACCTTGTTGGTAGTGAAAACTGGAGTTTTGATCAGGTGGACACAAAATCGACGCGACATTTGAGCTTTGATGTTGATAATGATGATGATTAGCTTCATGGTAACCCATTTGGCCAGACATTGTTAAGAGATTCTCCATGCCACTACTGCTTTGATTATCACATCCACCACCACCACCATAAGAAGAAGAGGAAGAGCTAGCTGAAGAAGAAGTGGAATAGGAGCTTGAACAAGAAGGAGGAGAAGAAGAGAGACCAAGGTAAAAGGAAGGAACTTGGGATGACCCACCAAATAAGTAATTAGAAGAAGTGCTACATCCTCCAAACCCCAAATCACTCCCACTATGATGTGCTAAGCCGTTGCTCACCATCATGGTCTGGTCACAAGTGTTGGTGGTTGCGGCCGCTGCTGCAGCTGCGGCCTGGAGCTGTCTCTGCCTCCGGCGGGATCTTGAACGCCGGTTTTGAAACCAATAGAAGACATTTGCATCTCCCACAGCGCCAAATTTCTCGAGCATCTTTCGAATCCTTACCGTCTCTTCTTTTGGAGGGTTAACCATCCCACTGTTGAAGATCGATTCAAGAATGAGTATTTGTTCCGGTTTAGGTGACCATCGTGATCGAACCGGCTCTGCTGAGGTGGAACCGGAGGCGGATGATGGTGGTGAGCGACTATGGCCGGTTGGGCTATGTGGGGATTGTTCTTGGTCCATTGCTTTTCAAGAATATTGTTTTTTTTTTCCTGAAGGTTATGGAGAAATAAAAAGAAGCTGCGAATCGTTTGTGAGAGAGGTGGTGAGTTGAGGCTAGTGTGAATTTATAGGAGAATGATTACTTAAATAATATATTTTTCCTTGTTTATTAAGTTACATGTGGTTTATCTTTATCTTTTTGTGGGTTCATCATTATAATATACTTGAATGATATAAGCATATTTTTATATTTTGTTACATATATATATATATATATATAGTATATACAGGTGCCAAAAGATTATAAATTCTTAACTCGAAGAAACAAAACACAAAGTCGCTTGGTGTTTGAAGATATAGCAACTAAGCAGATCCTCTTTGACCATTGCAACTAGGGATAGTCCAAAAAAATTGACATTATCCATTTACCCACTTTGATTTGCATGACAAAATAAATTAGCTATCGGCTATTTGTTTAATCCAACGTTGTTCAAAAACTGTATCCATTCAAAATATTCTAAAACCAAATTAATGCACACATATGTTCAATGTAGCTAATTATTTAAAATGCATTTTGATTGTGGTAGCTTGGTTCTGCTCAACCGGAGTCCGGTCCAATTTGAATTTTTGTTATGACTCGTTAAAGGCCAGTCTTGACTAGTTTAGTGTTGGCATAAATCAGAAGTAGTAATAAACAACATTGGAAATATAAATCAGACACACCATACCTATAGGTCATGCTGTAAGAAAACTTAGTAATATTTCCGTTTTACTTGAAATGATCAAAATATTTGTAATATCTACGTTATAGTTTAAATTATACTGATAGATGATATAAATGATTAAAAACAAATATATTTATACATTTGCATAAAACTTAAAAATATCACTTAAATTGATATAAATCTTTTAAACTATACACTAGAGGAGAACTCAAGTAATATTGTAACGGTTCCGAAATAAATATGTAAAACTATACAATATTACTGAGAAATAAAAGTTAATATGAAATAGAGAAACGCATAATATATTGTACCGTCCACCTGATCGCCGGCTATGATTGTCTCTCTTACTGCTCTTTAAATAATCAAAGATAAATAATATATATAAATTAGTATTCTTTCTTTTTTTAAAACCAATATTGTACTTGTATAGCTTAATGATCACACTATACCGACTTATGTGTGTATAATTTTTTTTACTACAGCAACAGCCAACAGTGAACCAAATATGAAATATACCAGCAAGAAAATAATAAACACTTATGTATATTTTCTTTATAAAAAAATAAGTTATACACTTTCTTAGTATACACTAATTATCTTATTAATTAGACGACTACGACAGCAAGTGAACAGCATGCATAAAAATTGTTTGCGTCTTGTTAAAAATAAAAAAAGAGAATTTATTTAATTCCTAACATTAACTTGTATATTTTTCCCATATCCAATCAACGTTACCTCTTTTTTTTTTGTATTTATTTCACAGAAATAGACTAATTTTTGGCGTCATACGACAGAGGCGCCCCAAAAGATATTTTTTGTCACTTACACATGAAAGGAATATCAAAATGTCTTTCTTTGTCACTAAGTTTTGAACACTTATGAAAATAGGAAAATCCTTGATATGGGTTAGTTTCTTAAAAAGTTTTTGATGGAAATTAATTAATAAGTTTTCAAATCAATACATTCAGTAGTTTTATGTATCCGAAGAACGATCCAAAACGAAGGTCAAAAAGTAAAGAAACCGTGAAGTTATTTTTAAATACCTATGACGTTAAGCAAACATGGCTTACAGTGGGTAGCCACTCGTTTTTTTTTTTTTTTTCTGTACGTGCAAAATACTCTTATACAATAGTATTAATTTGACAGTTAAGATTTAGTTGTGCACTTCCTGTATTTTTTTATTTCTAAATTATTATATTATTTGTTTTAATTATTCCTATGTGAACTCTGATTTTTACTTTAATTGTTGGTTTCTATATGTCTAGCCTGTTTCGGTAATATCAAACAAAATACGATTTCTCTGAAAATTAGGTTTCTACGTATTTAATTTTAATTTTATTGTTGGTTCTATATGTCTAGCCTGTCTAGAGAACTTTGGTCAAGACTCCAAGGACGATTATAAAATACTAGTTTCTTGATCATAGTTAATCGGAGGTGTTGTTAGAAAAATATGATAAAAATGATGAGAAATAGATATTTAGTTTCTCTAGGGCACCTTGAATATTGAGTCCAGATTTCTGATGAAGCATCTTAATAAGTCATTACTTTACATAGTCTAGTCACCAACTAAATGGAACCAAACATCACATGGTGTGGTGTGTATTGGGATCTTGGAGTTTATTAATTACCCCACTAAAGTTTATACTACTAGTAGTAGTATTAGTTATCCATTGCTCTCATAAATACGTAGATCTTTCCCGATTAGTAATTATGTCATACCATAACGATTAGTAGAGTAGAGTTAGACATATTCATGCATGTTATTAAATGTAAATGTGAAATTTCTTTTTCTTGAAGTACAGAAATATGAATTTGTGAGTATTCAATGTACAAATGAATGGGGGTGTATATGCAGTGTACAATGATGTGTGATGGATATATCAAAATAATAATAATTTTTTTTTTTTTTTTTGAAGTTTAGGGAGAATGAATTGAACTGTAAACGGAGAATAAAATATAGTACGTACATAGGTGAGTGTGCAAATACGTATGCAAAAAGTAGAGTGTAGAAACTAGAAAGACACAGTAAGGAGACAACTTGCTTCTTCAGATGCCCTCTGTTTTTGCCTGTCTCTGTATAATCGTATAGCTGTTTTGGGTATATTCTTTATTTCGTTTTCATATAGTAATAATATACATTAATAACGTAGAAACAAAAATATTGTTTTTTTTTTCTTTTTCTTGTGTGTTGTTGTTTGGAGTTTTCTCTTGTGTGTGTTTCGTCTTGTTTCCAGAAATGATTATTGAATTGATTTTGCGTATACATGTATGGGCTCGGCTAGCTCTCTCTTACCCCGAGCCAGTATGTTATAATTATTACTTTTATACTATGATTTTTACATATTTTAACTTTTTTTTCTTTTACATATTTAACATACTTTAGTAGTATAACTTATATTTCTCATTTACTTTTTTTTTTTAATTTTTTTTTTTACAAAAATTATACATACCAAACCTTGTAAAGGTGCCTTTAAGTAAAACCATTTAAATTAAAACTTGACAAAAAATTATACTATTTCATATCTAACTTTTTTTTTTTATCAATAAGTAAATAAATATATAAAAAACTTTTTTTTTGAAAAGGACACTGAATTCAAGCAACACCCAGTTGTATCAAAACAATCTAATCAGTCAGACAAAAACGTTCAGATCTCCAGAATCTCCACTCCTTTAATTTAATACCAGTAAATAAAGAAAATAACTTTAAGAAATGGTTTTAAAATCAACCAAAGAAAATATGGATGAAATAGCCAAACATGTTTAAATGTAAATGAAAAAAAAAGGAGAACTAAAAAAAAAAATATTTTCTTAGGACTATTCTTTTTATTTTAAATAACTTCGGTGGTTTCTTTAGTTTTCTTTAAAACATGTTCTTTCATAAAAATTATAATAACAAAATGCTATATTTAAATCAGACTGTTGGTATTAAAAACATATTGTAAATTTCTAACCTAAGGAATTTATAATTTGATGAAATGGTATCCTGTGAGCTTATATTATATGAATATATACACATATTAGGATTGCAGGGGGACACCGACCAACATGTGGTTATGCTTTTAGGGCACAGGTGTGAGTCTCTTTTGTTTGTTTATCAAAGTGTGAATAAATAATAATAATAATATGTGTTTCACCCGCCCACATCAATTTCACTTTCTTTCTTTTTTGGTTGTTAATGTCCCACGCACAAGAAAAAACCTTTGTGCCTAAAGTGAAAAATTGTCTAAAGAGGCTTAATATTTTGGAAACATACAATTATTACATCTGGGTGATTAATAGTATTAGTACTGTTACTTTAACAGGCTTAATAATCACAATAGTTTACTTCTAATGTTATAACGATCGGTTTCAGTATTGCTCCAATTTTATTGGATATCTCCGAGAGACAGTATAGTTAGTTTTTTTTTTTAATAGGAGAAATTAATTTAACTGTGTGTGAGAGAGTAATAGAAAAATTGTGACTGATATAATTCACTTGGTGGGTTGTGGTAATAGAAAAATCTGTATGCACGTTGCTATTATAAAACAACACAGCATCTACGATTTGGCCAAAAAAATTGGACGAAGCTTCACAGAATGCGAGAAAGACAACCCTAGTTTAGCAAATAAACGATCTCTGTGGTCCTAAAATTCTCAAATTCTGTAAGACATTCTAGATTTTGTTTCGTCTAAAAACATATATATAGATCATGTGGTCCTGCTCTGTGACATGTACGGACTATAAATATATACTTAAACTCACGAGTCACACACGACTTATACATAATGTGTCTTTGTGTTTTAGAGCTGATAGATTCAGATGATGACGTAGTTAGTTGTATCACTGTTATTATACATCGATCGTGTTTTTTTGGGATTATAACCTTGGGACTTATGTGTTTTCTGGTCAGAAAGAAAAAACTATACCTAGATCATATACATATACATATATATATACATTAAATTAGTGTTATTTTTGAGAATTGCCCTATATTTAATCTGATATTTAATTTGATAGTTAAAATAATTTTTATGATATAAGATTGGAAAGAAATACTGTATGTGTGTATACATATGAAGAGTGTATTTTCTCTCTTAAAACGTCCATTTCAGTACTATTTCAAGATCACTATGTAAATATCATATGATCATTCATTAAATAAGATCTCGAATAGATTCATGATACATTCTTACGATATTTGCATTTCTATATACATTGTACTTTTAAAGGCTTAAGTTTTTAGTTTTTACTAAAGGAGCTGACATATAAGAGTTTATGAGTTTTGTGATTTGTCCACTGAACTTGCAGAGAGCACTTATGAAGATATTAAAAACAAAAGATCCCATAGGAAGAAGACAAAAAAAAAAGGAAGAAAGAACAAAAAAAAAGAAGGGAACCACAACATAGAACATTAATTATCTAATAATAATATATATATGCAGCATGCATGAATCCTGACAAGCATCAAGCAACTAGTACATACACAATCATCACTCTCCTTTTCCATATTTTAACGAAAACAAACAAATTTTTTCCCCTCATCTCTTATTTGATCTTCTTCTTCTTTTTGTTTTGTTAAAGTTATCTCTTAATTCTTTCCCAAGATATATAAATTTGTTTGAAGATAACTTGGTTATATAGAATTGAGTACTAAAACACATGAAAATACACAACTTTGCTTAAATATTTGTCTATCTAGCAAATAAACCCAAAAAAATATCCTCCCACATATCCATAGTATAGACGTAGCTGGTAGCTATTGCAGTTTCCGAAAATAGTTGAGGTTAATCTAAAATATTTGCCACCAAGAGATTTCATGATTTTTCTTTCCTATACCATATCCATCAGTAAGGTATAGTTGCTATATAATATACGGTCTCTATAGAGTTGAGACTTGAGACAACAACGTCGACATATCTTTCCATTATTAATAATATTATAGCATAGATATATGGGTTTGGTACAAAACACACACCAAAGATACGGCGCAAGTGACTTTTAAAATAAAACTTTAGTAGATCGTTCTTTTTTTTTTTTTCTTACAATTAATCCTTGAGTTGTTTCAAGTGATACTGATGCAGTAATGTGTCTCGCACTTGAATGCTTTGCCATCACAAAAAGAGCCAAAAGGCTAAAGCTCTAATTTATTTGTATACTACTACTAATAAAACTATCGTAATGATCAAATAATAGCCAAGGCAGATTCATGCATTTATTATAGTTTATATATATATATATATGTATTACGGGCTAAAGTTATGATTAAACATCATTAGCCGGCACTATGTTTGGCCTTTGTTGAGACAAATGGCACGAATGTTATTGTGAAAAGGACATGTGAACTAAAGAAAGACAATATACTTCCTAGTGTCACACACGAGCACAAAACATCACTATCAGTTTTTTAATTAGTACTATTATTAGTGACTAGATTATAAATAAACTCTAGTTAGTTATGCCTATTTTTTTCTACTTATGTTCGCGTGTGTAAGTGTCTATTAAAGGGAATACTAAAGATTCCTTTAGTTTCTTTAATTTTTTAATGTCCATCAGATAAAAAGGATGAGGATCGAATTGAAAAAGTCCTATTGTATCATTGAACAAAATTATTATGACTTATGTGTAATGGCCCTAAGTAAGACTTTTTTGTCCGATCGAAACTTCAAATATATCTTTCAATAGTTCCGTTCTAAAGAATACAATCTTTTTTTTTTTTAACAGTACTACTATTGGAATACAATCTTATTATAAGAAAATAGCTACCAAGTGTGCAGGCTACTCTATTCATGCCATATAACTTATTAACTATATATAAAATTCTTTTGAAATTACATAATTAATGCCTAGCCTAGCATTATTGTTTGGAGTTCGGTCGTCAATAACCTCTACTACTATTGGAATTTACACACTGCGCGCTGATAACAATCTTACTTTCAGATTACTTTCTCTTGCTCCATTCCATATTTAGTTTCAAGTCCTTGTGTTCTTTCAAATATAAGTATTCACATAGTAATTCATCATAAGATGATTTTTGTGTCTACAGTGTTTATGGATGAGGCCGATTACTGGATCCAAAACAAAGTAACGAGGCCCATTAAAGGCAGTTTTAAAATTTCTATAGAGGGAACTTATTGTATATACGCGCGTGTAAGCGAGGTGAATTTTATAAACGCGAAGAAACATTCCGGTGCCTTGTGGGATATTTAATAAACAGTACTGTAGTATGATGTGAATTTGATGTAGATACAGTTTTTTATCTTTTATTGTCGGTAAGATGTATGTTTCAATTCAACCAAGTACGATAGTTTAAATTTTTCCTATTTTATTTGGTCAAAATCAGTTTATACACTGTAACATTTATGTGATGATAAACTAAAAATTTCGGAAACTGTCAGCTGCTAAATGAATATCGTACATATTATTATTGTAGTAATTAAAGCTGCAATTGGATATTGAAATATATAATTTATTTACTCTACATTTTCTTTTGGGATACTTGGTACGATTTCCGCTTGGTTCCGCAAGGTTATACATTTAATTTCTTAATCTTTTTCATAATTCAAATTAACTGGGAAAAATACATATCCAAAGTGCTTGATCATGAAAAAGGAAACTTTGAATTAGTAGTTTGGACTCAGATCAACTTACATCACACAATTCACTCAAATCTGGTACTAACGTAACATATTGTTGTTGTCAAATCGATTCACCAAACCTTATTTTAAAGATATACATATCAATATAAGCAAACAATCACCATTCACAGGAAAGCAGAATGAAAGAAAGCAATCAAGAATCAGATTCAGAAACAGTTGAAAGCTTTAGTTGAATACTCTACAATTCCTCCTGACTTCACCCGCGGAACCAGTAAGCACGTCAACGGCTCCCATCTTAACCATCGCGATTGCAAACTGACGTTTGAATAGTTCGTTGTTGGCGGCGAACTGAGACACAACATCAGAAGTGGCCGGATCGGTCGCGATTCGCTGGTCAATAAACAAAATCCCTTTCCTCAGTCTGAGCTGACTAAAGAACAAGTTGTCGAATGAAAACGGTGCTGATGGAGTTGACTGGTCTAGTGCCGCGAACCCGCCTGGAGCCGCACATGTGTTCCTTAGGCTATATGTGAAAAACAACAATATACCCATATTAAGCCTTCTTACCAACCAAATTACCATAGTGTTAATAAAAGCTGATTTAAATTACCTGGTAACCAAACTCGGATCCATAGACGGGTCGGGCTGTCCGGTTCCTTGAAAGTTGGTGATCCGGTCCCCAAAGTTACCACAAGAAGCGACCCCAACCGTGTGCGCACCCAAAAGAGCCACTGCATCCGTAACGTCCATCCCTTTGTTGGCGAAAAACCCTAGCATACCTTCGACAGAGATGCCTGGTCCAGGGAGGATCCGCAGTGCGTCTTCAAGGTTCGATACAAAGCCATCACGACGTCCTGTGGGGACCGTGTAGTTCGGTCCTCCAGCTAAGAGCACGGAGTCACGTGCGGCGAGCGTGATTATGTCGGAGCACGAGACCTTGGAGGGGCATTTAGCTTCGAGTGCCGTCTTGATCTCGTCTATCAGTTCGAACCCTCTAACGCTGCCGTTTGGGCCGGCGGTTTTTTCCGGTGAGGGTTGAGTCGTCGCTGGGTCTATAAGGAGAGAAGCGTCGCAGCCCTAATGGTGATGTCAATGAGAAATTTATTTAAAATTAATTATTAAATCTATTTTAATGTTTTAGAAAAATAAAAAATATTCATGTTCTTATATGTAACGGTTACTTTTTTTTAATGAAATGAAGTTTTTTAAATGATATTAATGTAGTTTATAGAAAGTTCAACTTTATTTTATGAAAATATATAACTAACACATATATATTTTATTTTGATTGACTAATATAACTTCTTATATATTTCTCTTTGATTGCATCTCTTTTTGTAAATCGAACGATATCTAAACTGAAGATGGATGTCTGATGAGAAATTGAGAATCATACCTGAACAAAACAGTCGTGAAAATGCATCCGAGTCAAAGCGGCCGTGATTGAAGGGTCATTAACAAACCGCTGGCGGACCAGGTTTTGTACGATAGTCTCTGCATCAGAGCACGATTCACTGTAAAACCCGACTCTTAGCTGTGCTAAAGCAACGGGGGAAATAAATAAAATCAAGAGTAGAACAGAAAAGTTTGCAATCGTCATCTCGTTTAGGTGGGATTAGCTAGTGTTGCAATATGTAATAGTGCTATATATGTTCTCGTGGAATGGCTTATGAGAGACCTCTCAGATCAGCCAATGCTATATATATACACACCAAAATAGGCCGTCTATAAAGAAAATTAATTAAAAAGGAATTAATACACATCTTGTATATGTCGAATAGGTCAGTCAAATATATTTAAACAAAGAGAGGTAAATCTATATATATATATATATATATATAAACCCAAAGGCGTACGTATGGACTACTTTGAAACATTCCGCTGCCTTAATGCGTATTCAATTACTTAAAAACAGTACACGCCTTCTAGGAAATGAGAATGAATGTAGCTAAGTAGTGATAGCAAAATACGCATTCTGTATGAGTCATCATCTCTCCATCAGACGAGTTAATTAGGTTTTGTTCTATGTGGTGGGTACCTTTTCTTTAGAGCAATTTTCAACTAATTGTAGTTTTACAATAGATCGTATCTATCTGATGTATTTTTACTTGACTAGTGTAAAACTTATAAGATTATTCCAAGTCCGGAATATATATATATATATATTGGTAATTTCATTCGATATATACACTGTAGAAGGGAGGCAATAAGGTAACTAAAATCTTCTTATTAAGTTATATTATATATGAAGTTTTCTCCAAAACTACTTGTTCTAGGACTTAGAATATTGTTGTAGCCAATCTCGTTACTAATATTTGTGTGCTTTGAATGATATTAGTCAACGACACAAAACAATCCAAAATTTATCTACATAATAAATTAACAAGTGTGCTAAGAAGAAGATAAACGAGCCATCATACGATTAAATGTAAATCAACATGGAGTTAATTTAATGCAATTATATATGCAAAGACTCGTTCTTTAATTTCCAATTCGCAAAAAAAAGAAATTTTTTGTTTTAATCAACCTTTGTTTGAGGATATTATTATTATTGGTTACTATCATGACTGTTAAATAGAAGACCAAGGCATATTTCGTAGAGATTTGTGTAAAGAAGTTGTCCTTGCGGAAAACTAAATTAGGGCCTAAAAAGCCTAACCTTTGACTTGATGGAAGTTGTCTTCTTTTTAATTTCTCTAAAAATAATTGAAACTGTGTTTATGGAAAATGAACCAAATGGTTAATTCGTTGTTGTATCCCCTGCTCAAGTTGATAAAAATACTCGGATTTTGATTTTCATAGTTTAATGTGTGGCGTGGGATTAACAACATATATGGGTACAGCCATCATTATTGCAAGTATCTTAACCCTAAGATTGACATTAAAAAAGTATCTTAGACGTTATATCAAGATATATACCTTACCTAATCCCGGCTCCATCATTTTTCTATGTATAATATATATAGTATGATTGGCATGGTTGGAAGTTGTTCTATTCTATGTAAAACACTCGGTTCTTGTGTTATTATACCGTATTAGACTATTACTATAATATGGTAGGGCGGTATAATAATTATGGTCGTCTTCACATCAATATACTTCAAAATCGTAGCAGACGGCGATATGGTGATCATCCATGATGCATGATCACACGGCTTGGGGAATTCAGATCTTTGATGAGTCTCATATGGTTTGACTAAACTTAACTCACTCACCTTCACGAAAAAAATACCAATATAAATAAGACCAAAATAAGCAAACTAGAAAATCCATATTCTTCTGAGCACAAGTTTCTTTAGTCATTTGGTTTGATTTCCTTTTAAAAAGTGATCAAAATATGGATGGTCTTGTAAGAAACTCATATCGTCGAATGGGCCCTAGCCCGATTCTTTCGCATTTATAGATCCGTAATTTGTGAAAAAAACTCTGCTTGGTTCGGTTTATTCGTAATTTGGGTTATCAGACTATCTAGGTTTATTGTTTCTTCTGTCAATCTCTTTCCAGCTTCTTCTTTAGCAGTTTTGTATTGTTTACCTAAAAACAAATAATTTAAACTAATGATAATGCAGCCCAAATGAAAACAAAAACAAAAGTAATATATAGTTTTTATATTCGAAATAAATACCGTTGGAAAAAACATATCTGACATCAATATGTGGAAATACAGTATATATTATTATACTACTATAGTATAATTTTATTTGTTGAGAAACAAATGCTTGAAGAAAAGTTTATTGGACAGGCTTTATATTTATATATATACTTGTATTTATTCCAATATTTTTTTGTTTTGAAAAATTTGTTAAATAGTTTATCATGTCGTAGAAAGCTCGAAAACAAAGCAACGTTCATTTTTGCAGGGAGCAGGCAAGTAAGCAGATTAAAAGTAAAGCAAGTTGGGATATTTTCATATATTATTTTTAATCGACAAAAAAGTACTATCAATAATAAAGTGATTAAGGAAAAAAAAAGAATATAGTAATGTCATCTACATACCAAATCATATCAAGATTCTCTCTGATGTTCTTGTTCTGAACATCTTTTGTTTAAATTTGATAAAATCTCGATATACTAAAGAGTTGTTTGCTTTATATGAAAGCTTTTCCCATTGTGGCAATGAGATTGATTAATTCTTTATTATTAGTATTTTTTATCTATATATACCTACCAAACAGGATTTTTTTTTTAAAAAAAAAAACAAACAAACAGAAATTTAACGAGACATATCAGATTTTTTTTTGTTATTCATTATGTTTGCATATATATATCGCTGATGTATATATGATATAAAACGTCGTCAGTTGTTTTATAAAATGTTGGTCAGAATTATAAGAGTAATATATTTATATATATATATATATGTATTCTGAGTTCACGTACGGATTTTATATTAGTTTTTAATTGATAAAGATTCGTAATGGACTGAGTACTTCCAAACTTTCACTGAAAATTACAATTAAAAGAGTATATCTAGCACTGCAGTACTACTTGTAGACTGAAAGCCATGCAAATGTGTGTGCCGTGCACGTGCGCATATTGGAGCAAGAACTAACGGCTTCTGATGTATTTGCCTATTTGGTACTATATATGAATCCTACTATATACTAGTATTATATTTTTAATATGATCGATATTGCCAAAAGTACATGCCATCCACTAAATATAATATATATATGCACAAGAAAAAACATGATGTGATGTGATTAAAAAAGTAAAAAAAAAAATCATGCAATTAAACTATAAATTTAGGAGATGCGAATGTAAATTCAGCAAGCATTAGAGATGATATGTGTAGCAAACATACAAATTTCTTTATAAAGCGTTTGATGACTTCGGAGTCAACGTATACAAGCAGGCAGTGGACGTACTGTATATATTAGTTGAATTCGGTGAGATTACATTAGTTAATGCATAACGTATATATTTAGACATTAAGCAAATATCACACTTCATTAATTATTTTGCAACGTTATACTAGAAGAAATTTCCCACTTTCGTTCATGTTTTCAACGCGGAATTCTCTGGTATTTTCCTAAATCGTTGAAACGTTTATTAATACTTTAAATAACAGCAAATAAACAAGTTATGATTTTCATTTATTTATTTATAAAGAACTAAAGACTAAAGAGTACAGTATTAATTTTCTTATATATGGTGGTGAACTACGATATTATGATTCCACAGCAGCGCCAAGCACGGTGTTCAGAATTTAGAAAATAAATTTACCCTTTCAACCAATTCTTCTTTTATGCCAAAAGTACTTCAAAATAAATTAAGCTACAAACACGAAAAGATTCGTCCTTAAATCACGTGGCAACTAATCCTATGTGTCAATACTGACGTGTCGTTACTCTATCTCCGACTCCTTTTTAAACCTCCACACTCTCCAGCATCGAACACAAACAGTGCTTCCTCTCTCTCTCTCTACAATTTTAACAATTCAAATTTTTATTTCTCTCTCTCTCTCTAAAAAATAAACTGAAAAGTCTCTCGTTCATCTTCTTCTTCAATCGTAAGAAGAGACAAAACTCCGGCCAGCTTCAATACTTTTGGTAGATTGTATAAAATGGCGGACAATGTCCTGAGGAAGCTGATAGTGGAGATCTGCAGCGCTAGAAACCTGATGCCTAAGGATGGTCAAGGAACCGCCAGCGCTTACGCCATCGTCGATTTCGACGGCCAACGGCGCCGGACGAAGACGAAATTCCGAGATCTCAATCCACAGTGGGACGAGAAGCTCGAGTTCTTCGTCCACGACGCTGCGACTATGGGGGAGGAGATCCTTGAGATCAATCTTTGCAACGATAAAAAGACTGGGAAACGGAGCACGTTTCTCGGGAAAGTTAAGATCGCCGGGAGCGCGTTCGCCGCTGCCGGATCTGAAACGCTTGTTTATTATCCCCTTGAGAAGAGGAGCGTTTTCTCTCAAATCAAAGGTGAGATTGGATTGAAGGCTTACTACGTCGATGAGAATCCACCTGCGCCGCCTGCTGCCACGGAGGAGAAACCTGAAGCTGCCAAGGCGACGGAAGAGAAGGCGCCGGAGAATGTCAAAGCAGAGGAGGGGAAGAAAGAAGCAGAGGCGGCGAAAACAGAGGAGAAGAAGGAAGGGCATAAAAAAGAAGAGGAGAAACCAAAGGAAGAAGCTAAACCATCGGAAGAGAAAAAACCCGACGCGGCAGCTCCGACGCCGCCGGATACGAAGGCAAAGACACCCGATGCCGCCGCAGCTCCTCCTCCTCCTGCGGCGGAGGTTCAGAATCCGCCTCTACCGCAGAAAACAGAGACGACGAAGCAGAATGAATTAGGAATTAAACCGGAGAACGTAAACCGGCAAGATCTAATCGGAACGGATCTTGAGCTTCCTTCTCTAACCAGAGATCAGAACCGTGGCGGTGGATACGACCTCGTGGATAGAATGCCGTTTCTATACATCCGTGTAGCTAAAGCGAAGCGAGCGAAGAACGACGGGAGCAGTCCCATTTACGCGAAGCTCGTGATCGGAACAAATGGTGTGAAAACCAGATGCCAAACCGATAAAGATTGGGATCAAGTGTTTGCTTTCGAGAAAGAGAGCTTAAACTCAAGCTCACTTGAAGTCTCCGTTTGGAGTGAGGACAAGGTTGAGAACGAAGATAAAACGACGACGACTACTGAGAGTTGTTTGGGAACTGTTTCCTTTGATCTCCAAGAGGTTCCTAAGAGAGTTCCTCCGGATAGTCCTTTAGCTCCTCAATGGTACACGTTGGAATCTGATAAATCGCCGGGGAATGACGTCATGCTCGCTGTTTGGCTCGGGACTCAAGCTGATGAAGCGTTTCAAGAAGCTTGGCAATCGGATTCCGGCGGATTGATACCGGAGACCAGATCCAAAGTTTACTTATCTCCGAAGCTTTGGTATTTGCGTCTAACGGTCATACAAACGCAAGATTTGCAGCTAGGTTTGGGATCCGAACCTAAGTCAAAGATACCCACTACTGAGCTTTATGTGAAAGCTCAGCTAGGACCTCAAGTGTTCAAGACTGCTAGGACTTCGATTGGGCCGTCTGCTTCTTCATCTGGATCCGGTAACCCGACTTGGAATGAGGATCTTGTTTTCGTTGCTTCGGAGCCGTTTGAGCCGTTCTTGATTGTGACCGTGGAAGATATAACAAACGGGCAATCAATTGGTCAGACTAAGATACATATGGCAAGCGTCGAGAGGAGAAATGATGACCGGACTGAACCGAAATCGAGGTGGTTTAATCTCGCCGGCGACGAGAATAAACCGTACACCGGGAGAATCCACGTGAAGGTTTGTCTTGAAGGTGGGTATCACGTGCTAGACGAAGCAGCTCACGTGACGAGCGATGTTCGACCGTCAGCTAAACAGTTAGCCAAGCCACCTATTGGTCTATTAGAAGTGGGTATCCGTGGAGCTACTAATCTACTTCCGGTGAAAACTAGAGATGGTACACGTGGCACCACCGATGCTTATGTGGTTGCTAAGTATGGACCGAAATGGATTCGGACTCGTACGATCCTAGACCGGTTTAATCCGCGGTGGAACGAGCAGTACACTTGGGACGTCTATGATCCCTGCACGGTTCTTACGATTGGAGTTTTTGACAACGGACGGTACAAGCGGGACGAATCTGGAAAGCAAGGGAGAGATGTTCGGGTTGGGAAAATCCGTGTACGCCTCTCGACTCTTGACATGAACCGAATCTACCTAAACTCCTACACCTTAACTGTGGTGTTACCAAGCGGAGCCAAGAAAATGGGAGAAATCGAAATCGCGGTTCGATTCTCATGTCCATCTTGGCTAAGTATTATTCAAGCCTATGTCACACCAATGCTACCTAGGATGCACTACGTCCGTCCCCTTGGTCCAGCTCAACAAGACATTTTACGTCACACGGCTATGCGTATAGTGACAGCACGGCTCGCGCGGTCTGAGCCTCCATTAGGTCAAGAGGTGGTTCAATACATGCTAGACACGGACAATCATGTGTGGAGCATGAGGAGAAGCAAAGCCAATTGGTTCCGTGTCATCACGTTCCTGTCACGTGCAGCCACTATAGCCCGTTGGATTCACGGGATTCGAACTTGGGTTCACCCACCAACCACCGTCCTCGTTCACTTGCTTCTCGTGGCTATCATCTTGTGTCCACATTTAGTCCTCCCAACCGTTTTCATGTACGCGTTCTTGATCTTAGCCTTGAGATTCCGTTACCGTGGCAGAGTCAAAGTCAACAGCGTTGACCCACGTTTCTCTTGCGTTGACTCTGTCGCACCCGACGAGCTCGACGAGGAGTTTGACGGATTCCCGGCGACGAGACCACCGGAGGTTGTTCGTATTAGGTATGACCGGTTAAGGGCATTGGCCGGTCGAGCACAGACTCTGCTAGGTGACGTGGCGGCTCAGGGGGAGCGTATTGAGGCGCTTTTCAACTGGAGAGACCCACGCGCCACGTGTATATTCGTGGTGTTCTGTCTTTTCGCGTCGTTTTTGTTCTACATCGTGCCGTTTAAAGTATTCGTTTTGGGGTCAGGCTTTTACTACATTCGACACCCGAGGTTTAGAGACGATATGCCTTCCGTTCCGGTCAACTTTTTCCGACGACTTCCTTCGATGTCAGATCAAATTCTTTGATTGTCTTCTTTTCCTTTTTTTTTTTTTTTTGTTTTTGTTTTATCTGTTTTGGGTCATGTAATATTTTCTTCTGATATTCAATTATTTAATTTTTCAATACTTAATGACCTTTTTAATTAGAAAGTAAAGCTTATTGAATTTGAAGAGGTAGTAGGTCCGTGAGTGGACCTTAAGATGTAAACTTCACCAATAGGTGGGAATTAGACCGTTAGTGCTTCGTGGGGACAAATCTTTTAATTGAAAACGTAAATAAATAAACTCGCATTAAAAAGAACAAAACAAATAGACGTATGTGATTCGTGATTTAGGTAACGAAGTTGGTGTAGATGACCGTTGCAGCCTAACAGGAGCGCTGCTCTTGGAAAAAAAAAGGAAAACTCAAACATGACCGACCAAATAATAAAGGAAAAATACCAAAAAGGCAAAGAGCTATTTTATGGAGCTATTAAATTGGTGTCACCGCTCACCGCCGGATTAGTTTAATCGGATTTAGATCAATTCTTCGGTATCTTAGTCTTAGCCAACAGAAAAAGCATGTTTTATATACTTGTAATCGCAATATCAGTTTTTTCACAAAAGATCAAATCGGGAGAAAAGCTTTATAATATGGAGTAACACAATCTAGGCCACCAGACACTTTAAACATTCTAATGACTTTGAAGTTTGAAGTCCAAAACCAAACCAGCCCGGCATTATATCTAAAATTTTCTTTATTCCCTTATGAATCACTACAGAACAAACAAAAACCAACCCCCAAAAAAAATTAAGAAAGAATATGATCATAAGTATCTTTATATAGAGTTGTGTAACTCACTCTTCCTATCTACATTGTCTATTGACAAAGTTTTTTCTCAACAAAAGCCTCAATAGCAAACTCTTCAACCTTCTAGCCCCCGGACCAGGACCAGTATCTGGTTTGAACCCACGTTTTCGTTTCCTTCTCAGAATCTCTCGGTCTATCCTATTGAGAACGGGATCATTGCTCTTGAACTTCCTTGCGAACGGTCGGTTGCTCGTGACCATCTTTCTGTAATCCCTCATCCCTAGAATCTTAGGGTGCTGCTTTGGCGGGTTGTCCCACGCGATGTAGTGGAGGTCGTGGTTCACAGTCGTGTTCTTGAACTCATCCGAGTTGCATATAAGTGTCTGAAAATAGCCTTCCGGGGATGAAACGAAGTTTGTGTAGTAGAGAAGGAGTGTTCTTGGTAAGTTGTCATACCCTATTATGCAATACTCTGAGAACGGTCTTGACAGGAATGTCCAAGCAGAACCTGGATAAAATATTTGATATGTAATTTCTTTACTAAAGAAAAAGACACTTCACCTAAGTTTACTTATAAATATTATCCCTTATTAGATACGTATAAACTTGTAGTTATTAGACCTTCCTCAATGCTGAATCTTAACCTGATCCTTAGCTAATTCTAATTAAAATTTAATACATAATTCAACCCTATATATAAGATAGGGTACCTTATATAAGGTATTAAAGAAATAATAAGATCCACTTTTTTCAGTTAAATTATTAAAGAAATCATAAGATTAATTTTTAAAGCTTATGCATTGAGGATGCTCTTAGGTAATCCAAAAGAAAACTCACAAAATAAATGATATTTTCTTTAGAAAATAAGGAAGTCTTTCCCTAGTTATAAAACTAAATATATGCCCTACTAAAAGCTCGTAAAAATATTGGTACTGGTGGTACCTGTGAAGAGCTTGAAAGAAGTAGGGAGGGTTCTCTGATTGCTAACCCACCAAATCTCTGACTTGTTGAGGCTGTAAAGCCCTGGATCTATTATTATTGGTTTCCCTCTTTTGTTCCTACACATTTATTTTTGTAACATACTAATATCAAAATCACATGTTTTTTTCTTTTGTTACGAAACCACTTGTTAGATAGTTCAAAATTTTCCTAGCATGATTCACTAATTCTGTCTTTAACTCTTTTAATAGTATAAAACACACTGGAAAAGGAAAAAGAAGTAAAAGACTGAAACTTACATTTTCCATCCCAACCGGCTTGAGTGCTGTATGAAGTTGAGATCTCTAGGCAACTCAGAAAATGCATAGATCAGATCTGCATTTTATGTAATAAAAATTAATTTTAAAAAGTTACAAAAGACTTTACATCACCAATTCACAACCACAAGCAACTCGGGTTGACAAATAAAAAGCATATACTACTTAACAGAGATAATTAAAACAAACTGTTACGACCAAAATCAACGTCTAAACCGATCCTAACCAGTGCATTCCTCTGTATCACACGAACGAACTGATCCTTAACCACTGCATTCTTATCATAATTCCAAAAATATAAGCTAAAATGTAATAATGGTGAATTGAATAAGAAACATACAAACTTTAATGATGTTTCTATAGCACACACAAACCTAGATCCAATCCTAATCGGCTAATCCAAAAAAGTTTCTAAATAAAGATGTCATTAACTAAATGAACCAAATAAGAAACTAAGTATCGTTAAATTCAGTTATATAAATCAATCACTCACCGTACCGTCTTGTGTGACGAGAGGGTAATCAGAAGCACTGAGATTGATGAACCAATCCCACCGACAACATCTCAAGAGCAGAGCCATCGCGTGAAGCGTCGTCGCCAGCATCGTCGGTCCTCTGTAAGTCACCAGATTCGGTTTCCCGACGATCATGACATTGCCCTCCGGCTGAAACAGAGGCTCCCCGGCTACGAACCTTGCCATCTCCAAATGCTCCTCCTCGGGGGCCTCCAGGTCTAGATGGATCAAATAGTGGTTCCTTCGGTGGTAGAGAGATCGGAGGAGGCGTTTGAGTTTGCCGGCGTCGCCTTTGGAGGCGGAGATTAGGTAGGCGAAACAGGGGAGGGTAGAGCTGTGGTTTTGGTTGGAATCGAGGGGTAAAGTAGGGATTTTTGAGGAAGTGAATAGAGTTTTGGTTGTGGGGATGATGTAGAGAAGAGAGAAGAGGAGGGAAGTAAGAGAGAAAGAGATCATCAACACTTTCTTCATCGTCATTCTTGTCTCTCTGTATTTTTTCTTTCTTGGAATCTCTTTGTTGGAGAAGAGAGAGAGAGAGTGTTGTGTTGTGTGGGTTTAATGATGGATAGTTTGTAGAATCACAAAGATGCCCCTTTATTTTTAAATTTTTATGTTATTGCCCCAGAGTAGTCTGAAACACCACAAAACTAATCTTTTAGTAAATCAACTAAACGTGTTAATCTGTTATAAGTTCTATAGCGAAATTAGTTTCCATACTCACAAAAAAATGCATAATCAATGTCGTTTGTTACAACATTGGCTACCAATAGTTTTGAGAGATATTTGTTACCAAACTTGACATAAAGATGGATCAACAAACAAAATTAATGTGTGTTGAATTGCTGATATGGAAAAGGTATTACAGAACATATAAGATGTAGCTATTTGTGTGTGACAAATGAAAAGAAAATGCATTTTTTATTTATTACCACAAAAAGGTGCATTTTACTGATCATGTAAAAAATTGTTTCTAAAAATAAGAATTGACAGTAAAGTTCATTCAGACAAATCTAAAACTAAAGAAGAGAGAGTAAATAATAAGAAAATCTAGAAAAAGGCAGTAAAAGTAAAAGACTTGGGGTTCCTTCCTTGCTTTGAAGCTAAACAAGTCCTGCCATCTGTCATATCTCTCTCACATTCTTCCACATGTTTTAGATCTTCAAAGTCTCGCACACTCACGAGTCACGTGCGTATGTGTGAAGCCACTTTTACGTTTGTAACCTTACTCTAAGCGGATAAGAATTTTGGAATCTAGCAGGATACGATCCACTTGTAAATTTCCCAACGATCTAATTTTAAATGTAAAGTGCTTGGCCGAATTTGTGGATAATGTCGAAAGAAAAATAAAATCAACTAGTTTCAAGAGCCCGATAGAGGCCCAATACGCCCTATGTACTTTTGTAAATATGAGCCCATCTTCATCCAAATGCCATATATTTTTATTTTTTTTAATCGTGCAAAGTTATTGTATTCAACTGGTCTTTCCTTTGTCTTGTTATCTCTTTGGTTGTAAGTAACAACCGTGGTAAACCAATAGCAAACACATTCGGCATTTTTAGACGCTTTCAAATCGAATCTTAGATGTTGTAAATAAATAAAAAGTTCACTAATAATTATTATTGTCAAGAAAATGTGGAATGTGTTTGAGTTGGTAACTAGTACGAAGTCCACTTTACCTAATTTGTCTTCTTTTTTTGGTTTGGTTTAGGTATTTTTGATTTGTACGCTTTCGAATACAGGAGTAAGCAATCCATCTTGACCAACCTCACCATTAATCTTTATGACTTTTTTTTTTCTTTTTCTCAATGGCTACTACACATATATGCAGAATACTTATACATGTGCTGCTCCGAAATTTCTTTAGTCATAAAGTTTGATAAAATAAAAAAAGAAGAAGATACAGAATGAATATTCATAGCAATCCCGTGGAATGGATGATATTATTGAGTTTCGATACTTATCCTCTCACGCCAAAAAGAGTAACAACAACAAAGACATAAAGCTAAAGGAAGAACTAATTAGAGCCAACGTATTTAGTTTGTGTACTCTTTTCTCCTTTCTTTCTTCTTTTTCCTTTTTTACATTGTAAATGTCTTTTATAATTTTACTCCATAGACCATTAACATAGTGATGGGATACTTAGATAAGGTTCATCAGACAAAGAAAACAAATTAACATAGGAAACTGATTAGGGATACTATTAAATTTTTTATTTTTTTTAAATTGACTAAAAAAAAGGAAATTTTGTATATTAAGTTTTTAAAAAGGAAATTTTTTTTTTGAGTTCAGATGTTGCTGTGTGTTTTTATCTTCAAATCATTGTAATGTTATTCATGTCTCCATCAATATGCCTGCAAATAAATTAGCTACTAGTTTGTAAATTCTCGAGAAGGTTCAAAGATGTACCACCATCTGCCATGTCATCAAACACATCAACAAAATCAAGAAAGTTGAGAGAGACAATAATTGTGGAATTTTTAGATCGTATATTATATACATACTAATTTGGAGTACCTTTTGTTGCGACGATGATGAGAAGTAGGTAGCCAAGATGAACCTACATCTATCAATCGAAATATTAACCTAACAGACAGAGACACACAAAACAATTGATGTATTAACGTATAACCCAAATGAAAAGATTTGATCATGTTAATACATAATGAATTGAATACTTTCTTGGGGGATCAGGAATTGAGGAAACTTTAAACTAAAAAGTCAAAACAACAATAAAGTGTAGGTTTAGTTTAAAAGATGGTCCTCTGTCTGATGGAGTAAGTCAAAACAATTGAATAAAGTATTGTATTTCAGAATATCCGAAATTAATTTAATAAAACACATCAACAAAACGAAAGATGTGATTGACTAAGATGTATGTATGTACATACATATATACAGAAGAAATGAATGATTGATGAAGATGGTTAAGTGGAACTTGGGTTTCAAGGAACACTCCTGGCAGATACAACTCATCAGTTATGCCTACACCTACAAGCAACGGCCATGCCTCTCGCTTGCAGATTCAAGAACCAATAACAATGTCTCCTTCTTCTTCTTCTTCTCCAATCGCCTTCAAGGTATGCTATTTCTCTCTTTTGAATCAAGAATCAGGTTACTCCTTTCTTGATCTCTGTATCCTCTGCTTTCTTGTTGACTTTCATCACTATTTCTTTGACTTAAGAACAAATCCAAGACTCAGCTTTTCTTCTCTCTCCCTGTTTCTGAATGGTGCTGTTTTACTCCCATCATGTTCTTAATGAATTCATTACCCGTTACTGAGATACCAATTTGTATGTTGTTGACAGGAACAACAGGGAAGACCACCTCCCGCAGCACATCAAACAATAGCCGGAAAACTCTTTAGAAACCTCTTCAAGGGTCTTCTCTTCTCACAACTAACCTTAATCTCGCTTTTGGTGATCGTTCTCACCATTCGCGGTCTCATCTCAGCAAGTTCACACCATTTCCACCCCAAGAAATGGTACCCTCCTTTACTAGCCTCTGTTGCTGTCTCAGGAGTTGCATCTTTAGCCTGGCAGTGCATCTTTATCTACAATCCATCTAGAGCAGTCAGAGCAACGTTCTGGCTTAGCCCAATACTCACCTGCTCGGTAGGGATCTTGCTTGTTCTTATTGGCTCGGCAGTAGATGCAGTGGTTGGTTCAGCTTTTGTGCTTTTTGCCATCACTCAGTCTCTGTATGGTTGCTGGATCACTACCAGGTTTGAATACACAGATAAGTTATTATCACTTGCTACAGCATTCCCACCTGCAAGAACCAGAGAAGTAGTCTGTTTATCAATCACTTTTAGCTTAGTTTACTCTGGCTTCTTGGTGACTGGAATTGGGGGAGCAACTTCCACTAGAACAAGTGTGGATCTATTGTTCATATCCGTGATCTTGATAAGCTTATCATGGACGATGCAAGTTCTCAAGAATTTTCAACAAGTAGCGATTTCACGGGCGAGATATGTAAACTTTGCTCATGGAGAAGAGATGGATGCTTGGGATGCTTTTCGCATCACTATGAAACACTTGGTTGGGAGCATCTGCATTGGCTCGACGCTTGTTCCAATCATTGTATTCATCAGAGGATCCATCAGAAGCGTTAACCTTATGTCAGGGAGCAGCGATGAGGTCATGTATTCTGGTGCTGATTGCTTCTCTACCATTGCCAACAAACTCATTACACTTGGAAACAGATGGGGCTTTGTACATGTGGGAACTTATGATAAAGGATTCGTGGAGGCTTCTAGTGATACCTGGAAGAAGTTCAGAAGTACAAGTGGGCTAGAGAAACTGATTGATTCGGATCTGACAAGCTCCTTGTGCTTCCTCAGTGCGGTTTCTGTTGGAGCTGTCTCTTCATTGACTGCTGGGATATGGATGTTGTTAACTCACAAGGACTATGCCTTGGAAGTGACTCTCTATGCTTTTATAATTGGATATTTCGTGGTAAGATTGGTATCTCTTAAGCCATTGGCCGTAAAGATGATCAAAATGACTAGGACAAACAAAGTACTGTAGCTTATATGTTTTGTCCCTGTGTTTACAGGGAAGGGTAGGTTTGGCGTGGCTACAGGCATGTGTGTTGGCTTACTATGTAGCTTATTCTGAAGATCCTCAGAGCATGCGGTTTGACGGTACAATTCCGAATCGTATTCAGCGTCTTCAGATGTTAAGTGCCCATCGTGATAACAGGGAGCATGAGGTTGGTAGGGAGATTGAAGAAGATAGTACTCGTTATAACAATTGTTAGACTCTTGAGGAGACTCTCCACAAACATGTAAAAAAACAAACAAACATAAAAATTAGTACTTTTTTTCTTTCTTTCTTTCTTCAAGCTTTACCCGTTCCACCACAGCCTATAGACTGAGGCTCACCAAGGCAATGCCAAATTTATGAGAAATCCCAACCTAATTGTCCGGTATAGACTATTGGTTATGAAAATACCGTTCGAGTAAACCCGGTTCGATTTAAAACCGCAAAACAAGAATCGCAACGCCTGAAAACTCTGTCACGCACACAGTCACAGGAGACGCACGCTCCCGCGTCTGCAAAAGAACGGATAAAGTCTCTCTCTTTCTCACTCTCTCTTCTCTCTCTCTCTCAACGAAGAAGAAGAAGATGCTGACGAGTCCTAGTAACGCACTTCACAGTAGTTCTCCACACTTCTGGCCAGTTCGCCGGAGCAGGCTTTGCCGTTCCCGGAACTTCCCTCGTTTCAACTCCGGCGAACGCAGCAGCAGCGGCGGCGGAGGGAAATTGTGCTCCCTCTCTCTTCTCTCTGCAAGTGGCGCCAGTAAATTCAGTGTCAGAGCTCTAGTTAGACCAGATGCTACAGAAGAAGCCGACTCTGTTGGCGATGGGGCTCTGGCTTTTCCTAACCACGTTTCTGTCAAAATCCCCTTCGGAAATAGAGAGGTTTCAGAAAAGCTCTGCTCTTTTTCTTTGAATTTTGGATTCCGAGATGATAGTGATAGAATTGGTAGGATTCATGTAGTGAATGAGCATGTTTTGCTCGGATTTGATGCCCTTATCTTTTCAAGTAGACAAGCTCAAAGCACGTTGCTCTACATGAGCTTTGTGAGTTTCTTTTTTTTGGTCATGACTTAATCTTGTTTCCTTCTACTATCTAGATTTTAGTTGAGACTGGTCTTATGGGGAGACAAGCAAGCTCTGCTGTAACGGTGACGGATGGAGAAACTGTAAGTGTGCTTTGTGTTCAAATTTTTAGCGTCTTTTTACTTGTTTATCTCTAACTCGGTTTGTTATATGCGGTAGCTGTGGTGGGTGGTTCACATCTAATTTTTACTATGTTAAATTTTCATTGTAGATTGTCTACACAACTGTTTGTCTAGCTGATGTTCCGAGTGAGCCATCAGATTTTCTTCCCCTTTATGTTCACTATCAGGAGCGATTCTCAGCTGTAGGTCGTACTAGGTACGCGTTTTTATCTTCAGTCCTTTGCTATTTTGGAGCCTCTTCCTTCAAGGAAAATAGATCATAACCTAAATGATGATCTAAATGAAACTTCTTGTGGTGCAGTGGTGGATTTTTCAAGCGAGAAGGGAGAACCAAAGATCACGAGGTACTTCCTCTTGCTAAACGATGTTTGGCAACTCTTATTTCTCCATCCTTTTTAACATGTTTCTACATTTGCTGTTTATGCAGGTTCTGATTTGTAGGTTGATCGATAGACCTCTACGCCCCACTATGCCCAAAGGTTTCTACAATGAAACTCAGATATTATCCTGGGTAAGGTCCTTCTCCATGGGTTTCTTTATTGGCCTTCTTTTTAAAACTATTTGAGTACTTTTTGGGTGCAGTTATTGGGGAAGTGAGGGGGGTTTATCTGTTTGCCTCTCTTTGGCTGAAACATAATATCTTTTGACTCTGTTAGATGGCATTTCTTGTGTTGTGTGCCTACTACTTTTTTCACGAAATGACTTGTATGTTTGTAATTAATCAAATATGTTATGTGACGATTGTATATATTTCCTTGATTCAGGTTTTGAGCTACGATGGATTACACGCACCTGATGCTTTAGCTGTTACATCTGCTGGAATAGCTGTGTATGTAGGGTCATCTAGTTTTTGTTTTCATATGAATGTAGCTTTTAATCTTGGCGACATTGACATGGTTTTGTAATGAATTAAAAACCACAGAGCTCTTTCAGAAGTACCAAATGCAAAAGCAGTTGCAGGAGTTCGGGTTGGTCTTATTGGGGGCCAATTCATCGTCAATCCAACCGTGAAGGAGATGGAAGAATCACAACTAGATTTGTTTCTAGCTGGAACAGATACTGCAATTTTAACAATAGAGGTCATCTCTAGTCACATTTCATCTTGTTCTGCTTTATCTTGACTTAGTCCTTGCTCATTGCAAAATCTGGGATTGCAGGGATACAGTAATTTCCTTCCTGAGGAGATGCTGCTCCAAGCTGTTAGAGTTGGACAGGTATATCAATTTTCTAATTGGAGTTATTTCAATCTTTAAAGATCCGGATTAGATACTAAATGTGAGACTTTTTCAATTTAACCAGGATGCTGTACAGGCTACATGCATTGCTATTGAAGCGTTAGCAAAGAAATATGGAAAGCCCAAAATGCTTGACGCTATTAGATTACCACCTCCTGAGCTATACAAGCATGTAAAAGTATGTTATATACCTCGTTTCTATTTTGGTTTGCCAGAATGGAATTGCAGTGGTATTATCTTGTAAATCATGTGTCAAATGAATAGTTTTCTGTACACAGGAACTTGCTGGTGAGGAATTGTCTAAAGCGCTACAAATTAAGAGCAAAATATCGAGAAGGAAAGCCATATCGTCCCTGGAAGAAAAAGTCTTAACAATACTGACAGAGAAGGGATATGTTATTGATGAGGTAGCTTTTGGAACCATAGAAGCACAACCGGATCTGTTGGAGGATGAAGACGAGGATGAAGAAGTTGTTCCTGAAGGTGAGGTGGACCAAGGTGACGTTCACATTAGGCCCATCCCTCGTAAACCTATCCCTTTAGTGAGTCTCTTAACTCTTTCTACACGGCAACTTGAAATTGACCTTTTCTCCTACTCATTTTTTAATGCAATGTTAACAAAGTAGTCATTGCCTTTTACTAGCTATTTTCCGAAGTAGATGTCAAGCTAGTCTTCAAAGAAGTATCGTCAAAGCTCCTACGGAGGCGAATTGTTGAGGTACAACATCTGGTTTCCTATATTCTCTACCATATACGTGTATGTTGATAGGATTTTTCCTCACTGAAGCATTTATTGACTACACTACGGTAAAGAATCATGCTTAACATGTTAAAAGTCAACACATATTTACAGTGGCTTTCGTAAATTTTCAGTTTTGTTTTCACTCTTTTGGAACGAGTTTATTGATTTCATATTATATACTTCTCCATCCATAGGGAGGTAAAAGAAGTGATGGTCGGACTCTGGATGAGATTCGTCCAATTAATTCAAGATGTGGACTGCTTCCAAGGGCACATGGAAGTACTCTGTTCACACGTGGTGAAACACAGGTAATACAGGAGTGTTGTCCTCTGGGGGAGTCCGCCATGGCTATTTCATATGTCAATCCTTTTTCTTATCACCTTAAAGGTATGTTAAGGAAATTAGTTTGATAAGGAACATTATTGTATGATTGTTTCAGGCACTGGCAGTTGTTACTCTCGGTGACAAACAAATGGCACAGAGAATTGACAACCTTGAGGGTTCTGATGAATACAAGAGGTTCTATCTTCAGGTCTCTTCAATATTTGTTCTTCTTCTCACTCTGTTATTAATATTAGATCGAGTAAAAAAAAAAATCTGTGGTTTGTTGCACGTTTACATTTAATGACTATTTCGAGAAATTTCGATTCTTAATGTCTTCTTTCATTTTTCTTGTTGAGCTAAAGGAGATTTTCTAAGCTACTCATTGTGATGTTTCAGTACACTTTTCCTCCATCGTCTGTTGGTGAAGTTGGACGCATTGGTGCACCCAGTAGAAGGGAAGTAGGTCATGGGACACTAGCAGAGCGAGCATTGGAGACCATTCTCCCTAGTGATGATGATTTTCCTTACACGATACGTGTTGAAAGTACCGTAATTGAAAGCAACGGTTCTTCAAGGTCTGCTTTTTGTCTCTGGCTGTATGAGCCAATTTGGTTTGAATGACAATTTTTGTGCTTGCTTCTTATATTGATCTGAAAATGTGACAGTATGGCATCTGTTTGTGGCGGTTGCTTGGCTTTGCAAGATGCCGGAGTTCCAGTCAAATGTTCTGTTGCTGGCATAGCAATGGGAATGGTTTGGGATACTGAAGAATTTGGCGGTGATGGATCTCCCCTTATCCTTTCTGACATCACTGGAGCTGAAGATGCATCCGGTGATATGGACTTTAAGGTCAGAAAATATAAGGGTTCCTTTGAAAGTCGTTGCATTAACTTAAATGCTGATTTTTTTATTTGTTTATCAATAGGTTGCTGGGAATGAAGATGGCGTTACCGCCTTTCAGATGGACATTAAGGTCATCATCTGTTTCTTAATATACACTGCCAAAATGGTTTTAAATGGTAATTGTTTAATACATCTGTTGGTAACATCTTTTTTTCTCTTCTTCTTCTCTTAAATCATGAACTAGGTAGGAGGAATCACTTTAGAGATAATGGAAAAGGCTCTGATACAGGCAAAAGCTGGGCGTCGCCATATTCTTGGTAAGGAATGTGAATTCATGAATTTCTCAGACAGTAGACTTTGGGAGACTTAGTTTCTAGGTAGTGGAATTAGTTTATCCCTGAAAACTGTATCCATTAAAGATGTCATTTACTAATTTTTCTCTTCTTTTGTGCAGCTGAAATGGCAAAGTGCTCACCGCCTCCTACGTTAAGCCTCTCAAAATACGCTCCATTGATACATATAATGAAGGTTTGGACTCAACTAATTTTTCCAGGATTGCTCAGTCTAATGCCTTACTGCCTTGAACTAAATATTGTTGGCGTTTCATGTGCTGCAGGTTCATCCAAGCAAAGTATACTTTCTTATTGGTTCTGGTGGTAAGAAAGTAAAGAGCATCATTGAAGAATCTGGAGTTGAGGGCATTGATATGCAAGATGATGGAACTGTGAGATATACAGAAAATGTTTTCATTCTTCTTAATGTTTTTGCATACTTATGGGTTTTCTCACTATAACCTCTTAACATTTATCATTGTCCAGGTCAAAATTATGGCAAACGATGTGGCGAGTCTGGAAAGAGCGAAAGCAATTATTAGTGGATTGACGATGGTTCCCTCTATTGGTGATATATATAGGTATATATTCTGCATATACCTTCTTTGACTAA